ATTAACAATGTCGTACAACGCCGCCAAANTGAACACGAAGCTTCCAATGAAAACTATCAGACTAGTTGATTAACAAACATGATGTAACTCGAGGCGTCCTTGATGATTCGTCTGAGACCAAGACCAATGTCAACCCAGAATAGACAGGAGATCGTCATTGAAAAACCGTTGAAAGTGTGCCAAAACCCAACGAGAACAGAACAAAAATACATTAACAATGTCGTACAACGCCGCCAAAACTAGATAATAATATGTGAAAAAATGCTAATGAACTCGAAGCTAAATTCATTTTGGTAAAACACCGTCCTCCTTGCCTTCTAAACAAAATAATTGTCTGAACGATGTGAATAATTTAAAGCCAAACGAATCGTTTCAAGTGTTTAATAAATATTGTCACATTTGAAATTCCTTTTGATACTATTTCTGTAGCCAGCTAGGTATAAGTAAGCTATTCAATTAATAACTATGTTTTACAAATACATTCAGGCCAAGGCATGAAAATTAATTAAAATTCTATTTTGTTGTTTGCTCAACATGAAAAGTAGTAATAAAAAACCGGGCAAGGGCGTGTCGGACTTCGCGTGGTGAAGGGTTCCGCAGTGACTGCAATTTTAAATCTAATAAGATATTTTTCTAGCTAAACAACTACTCCACATCTCTTAATAATTTTTTTGTTCTGCAATTTTTACTATAGAACATAGAATTTAAATTTGTAGTTTCGCTGATTTAGGATTTGGGGCGTACTCGAAGAGACGCAAATAATCAGCAGTAAGCGAATGCGAACTATATACTTGCAATAAAATAGAGACGCGCATGCTACAGTTGACTAAAAATATATTATATCATTTTTAAAACTAAAGATGCCTCGCGATTATGTGCTCTCAATATTATCTTTGTGAAATTTGGGAGCTACATAATATACACAGTTGTATCTTGAACAGCTCACATATAGCACCGACATTCCACATTTGTCCCGTCTAGTGCTGATATGGTACAGTTACAGTAAAATGACTCCGTTTAAACTACGGTTACGTTACGGCTTAATCTCACATTTTTATTGTCACCGTTATTAATTTTAACGATTCGAATACTTAAAAGGGTTTTCTTGGTTAAGGACCACTACTTTGTTATTCGTCGATATTTGAATATCGTGCTAGTTACCGTCAAATTTAAAAAAAAATGTTATAGAGTCTACAAACGAACAGAGAACAACAATAATTAATTGCATGGGTTATCTTAAGCAATTTGCCCACAGTAGCAGTTAACCGGACGAAAATACAATTAAAATCCATATCAAATAATGATACGAATACCTAAAGGATTAAAGCTATTTAAAAGTGTTATTAAAATTAGGCTTATCGAACGACGATTATAGATAATAACAATATGCAAAAACTAACGGATATTATCGTAATTCTGATGTAGTGAGTGAAGTTCGAACAATACAGATGCGTGTAAGAACACGATACGCCCACCATTTATCGATGTAATCTACTTTGACTCACGATAGCCAAAGTCAAAGACTTTTGATAAGAAGTAAAACTGAGCAGTTTTTCAAATGAAGCTGCTGCCACATCTTTAAAAGGCTTGCCAAAAACGTGATCTCATGTGCGAATAATGTTATTACAACGAACGCTCCTTATGAAGCTATTTAAAAGATTTTCTGCTGACGCTCGATACTTCAATCCGCGAATCCCATCGCGAATACCGTTATTTGTTGGTATAGTATAATCTTTCAAGTTCGGCATAGAATGTCAACATGTTGTCACTAAACATTTAGGTTGGTGTCACCTGAAAACTGAGTCAATCGCTGTTTAGGTAAGGTACCCTAAGTACTCGTAATGCCACCACGTTTCATTCTTAAAGCAGTTTAGCATAGCGTCTACATCAACGTCTACATCAAAGAAAATTATCGAATAACAGTTTTAATTGCATTTTTATTTATTATCAAATCATTTACTGTTATAATATGCTAATAAAAATAATACTATTACTCATAATCTAACATTGGCTATTTTATTGCCAATAACTTTTTGAAACAGAAATAACAGAATTTTAACGAAATTACCTCTCTAACCGTGTACAAAGCCAGAACATTAGATATTCTAATTCTTTACGACCCGTTTTCTATTATATACTATGTTATATCGTAAGGTAACCTTGCCGGCATCTCAATACTACAAATCAACCCGTTTTTCCGTGATGAAACTAAATAACTATATTTAACATTGTATTGAGTATTGATAGTTGAATCAAATTTACATAATATTACTTTAGTTGTTATTAAACATAATTAACTAGGAATGTGGAAGGCTATAGAAGAGGTAGACCTAAGAAGAAATGGATAGATTGCGTAAAGACGATACTATATGTAAGAGGAGAAATGGCACATGATAGACAAGTATAGAAGGAGAAAACGTGTTGCGCCGACCCTAGGTGACTGGGAGAAGGGGCAGAAGAATGATGAGTTGTTATAAAACATAATTACGGTATATTATTAGACATCTGGCTTCGGCGGTCGAGTGCTACATACTAATGTGACTTGTCTAATGAAAAATATAAAATTACGCAAACAAAATACATAATTGATGGCGAAATTGTTATGAAAACAAGCTACGACCTCGCCAAGTGCCTTCTAAAACGCTCCTGTCTTATCATAAACGATAAGATACCGAGGTCTTTAGACAAGAAAGATATAGTTTTTAACACGTTATCTGACGAATTCGTACATTCAACTTGAATCCTCAATTTACATGTTCGTAGACAAGGTCGGACCTAAACTGTTGCTCGGTTAGTTGAACGTAATTTAATATTTTCAAAACAAGCTCTGCTTTGGTATCACATTATTATTTCCTTCAACAACAAAAATCTTTCGGCTTCTTCGAACGAAGGCCGAAGTAAACGACTGTTTTTTTTTTTCTAATCGTAAACAAATAATAGTCCTTGTCTATGTACCTATACGGTGTAATCTTTTCCAGTTCGGTTCTGTAATCATTTCCTTTTCTCTCTTATAAATAAAGGAAATATAAACTAGTAAAATCCACCTAGATTTGTCACCTCCAAAGCCTCGTGACACTTGAGAGATGTTGACATACATAGCCGTAAAAGCCTTCTTATGTAACGAAAAACACATTAGTTACACTTCAAATATCTCGAGAGAATGATGAAATACCTACTAACATAAAAATGTTTTATCAAACGCATTGTAAATATTAGAAAAAGACTTTTTGTTATGGCCGCTTAAACAGAACAAAGAAATAACTACAGATGTACGTATGATTAAAAAGAGCACAAACTGCGTATGTAAAAGAAAAGGATAAAATACGAAAATTATTTGAATTGAATTCGGGTATTCATATCTACCGCGTATCCCATTATTGGAAAGGAAATTTCAAAGGCGGTTCGATGTGAAAGGAAACAGAATTATAAAAGGGAATACAGGCACAAAATGCTCCCAGACTCGTTTCCTATAAACCTTGAAAAAGTATGACGACCTCATAGTCGTAAAGGCATCGTTTTGTAAGCCTGTTTTACGACTATGAATATTATGGAAAATACATTAATCGAAATACGTTTTTGACGTCCTAATTTAAAATAATTAAATTTCTAAATTCCGTACCAGAGATAAGGAATTTTGTTCAATTGCAATATTAATACAGTTTTTGTAAGATATTTAAATTAGCGTCAAACCTTCCTCGCGTCCTCATTTATAGAATTTCAATTGACTTACTTTTTATAAATGAAGTTTTTGTAGTCTTCCACTCATTAATAAGACTCGAAATTAATACGCAATGTGTGACTATGACTTTGATACAATCAAACTAGTTTAAAGTTAAACGTTGATGAACCTTGGACACGCCGCCATATTTCAATGTAAAAATTAGCATCTGTGTATAATCGACGAACCGATTACAGTGAATGGAAAATGATCGAATGCCGGACGAGGCAACATCTGCAGCGGGGCGAATGGAAGCTGTTCTATCGGAGTGAACAAAGCAATGACGAAAAAGGACTTTTGAATTAGAACAAAATTTAAAACGGTTATTTTTTTGGTTATTTTATGTATACTTTTCAATTTTCCCCAACGCAACTATAACAAGAATTTGCAAAATATATACTGTATACCCATTTTGTCGAAATAAAAGGACGTTGTAATTTGTTAACATTGCTTACGTACTCATTAGCAATATTAAGATTATTCGGCACAGGCACGCTACACACACTCACTCACACACACACACAGACACGTACCTACATGCTACACTATACGACGTAACGAGGTGCTTTCTCACAGGCCCCAAGGTTGCGCCAGTCGGTTGCGAGAACGAACCGACTGTTATTACTGGTAACACACCCACTAGGCAACCTTTTAGTTTAATACGAACCATGTATGCGATACAAAAAATAGTACATCACGCAAAGAAATAAAAGTTCTAGCTCAACGGTAGTTGTAAGTGAAAACAGAGCATTTTTCTTAATTACACCTTAACAAGATAAATCACACCAGAATCATAATTAAAAATATATCAACAATTAAATATTTTACAAATTGTACGAAATAATTTCAAAATTGTTAACGTTTTCCATTATGATAGTAGATTGTAAGTGTAAAATTAAATACTCCTTTTGGAACACCGAATTCTTGTAAACATCAAATCTTTTAATGACAGAGTTGAACAACATGACCAACGGGCGTCCGGCTGAGAGGTGGGACGAACAATATTTCGCTTTATTAGGAAGCCACATATTAAAGCACCTCTAACGTAACACGAGCGACGGCCGTGGTCTGAGATATTATGTGCGAAAACGACAAACAATACAATATAATGTACGTACGCATCGCTATGAAATATATAAACTCAAGTTGTCGCCGAACAATCGTAGCAGGTGTTGCCAAATGTCCACGCACAGACGACTACATCTCTTCAAATCAATGACATAACCACGAAATATCAAATTCTGAAAATATGTATTTAAAATATAGAAATCAAACGAATTAATATTGTTACATCGATATTTTTTATTTAATTTCATCGTAATTTTATGGAAGATCAATACACGGTGACAAATTATGAATGAAATTCACGGACTTTATACAATTTTGAACTCTCAATGCTATAGGCACTCGATTTAATAGATCTAAACGTGAACATTTTAATATTAAGATTAAACGCGCAGATATAAAATACATCGCAAATACACAATACACTGTCACACTAATGTTTATAATATCCGAAATGACTTTAAAATGTTCACATTCTGATTGTGTTAATGGGCAAATTTGTGAAGCTACTGGAATGAAAATGCGGATTTCAAAGCTGAACATGAAAATTCTAATTACCAGGAACACGATCACTATACTATATACAATCACTGTTATGAAGAATAGTTACATTTGAAACTCTCAGGACAATATACAATTAAATAAATTGTTTCTATATTACCAGATTATCATTTGCATTTTCCACAACTAACAGAAGATGCAATCTATCGAAATATATTTGGTCTTATCAAACAATGTCCAAATGGCGAATTATATGTGTTTTTTTTTGTTGGCTCACGTAATCTTACGAGAAATTCCTTTCAATAATACCATTATAATAATAATAATCAACATTTCATTTAAAATAATGATGAGAAGAAAACTACCTTAGAATACCAGTGCCTTTTTCGAATATTCATTTAACTGCATAACAGCAATTTTCCTTTGATTTTAGCAGTTAGTTTAAAGCACAAAAAACATTAAATACCTAATCCTACAAACTAACTTAAATTGTTTAGACACTGAGCTATTTTTGAATCGTCAATGAATACACTTTATTATATTAATAGCCACGAGAAAAAGACTAGACTATTTTAAATGGATTAAAAAACAACATTCATAATCGCATAATGGATATTGTGCAAATGTGACATCAGTTTTGGTGCTAGTAAAATTTAACAAGTGAAATTAAAAAGACTTAACATAGAAACAAATAGTACCAATTTAAAAAAAAAAGTTATATGGCACCAATAGAAGGACTGTAACAATTATTATAGATAATTCACCAATTAAGACATTGTTCATGACTCTTCCCTTAGCACCTACTTAAAGAAATGACAAATATTATAAACCTTGGAGGAAACATTATAATCATTCAACTACTATAGAAAGGTTCAAAACTATTCAGAAGAAAAGATCGACTGATGTAAGAATTTATGATTAGATTGTCTCACATATAAGTATTGATATGATTCTTATATTTGATTTAAGATCCAATTGTAAATAGTTTACATACATAGTTCTGTGAACAATCGACTCTAAATATTTGCATATTACCCAAAAGTTACATCACTTGATATAATTTTATGAACATGCATGATGCTATTTAGTGATCTTCTCATTTATCACCCTAATAACTATTACCACAGATGCTCACAATGTAAAATGCACTACAAATAACTAGATATTTGTACAGCCTGGATTCAAAGTCCTACATCTAAATAGCTAACAAACTTTATAGTAAACATCGCCAATTTAATTCCAATTTTGTCACAACTTCACAATGTGATAGAATCAAATAGTATTGTACAAGTCACCTGATGTATGATAATTTTCACACACTTGCCACTTATTGATAACATCAGTCTCAGTAACAAGATATTGCCATTAAGCATTTTTATATTAGTGTAATGGTAGTAGTAATATATTCTCAATCCTATTATTTTCGTGTACCCCTGAATTTGGTTTATCGGGTTGGACAAGGAAATATTTGGAAAATGTTCAGAATGAACAGTAACAAATATGCTTCAGTTATTTAGAAGCATGTTTAATTAGTAAAATATCTTCACTTGAAACTGATGCTAACAAATCACATCAATAGTGTAACATTTGCTTCAGATATATGTTTTGTGTTTCATCACAAAGAAACTACACATTTATAACTTAACCAGCAAAATAAGGAACTAAAACAATTATACTTAATACCAAAATGAACTCACATCAGATCACAAACACGTAGGTCAACAAATTGCATATTAGAACACAAGTACTGTGTATTATATTTATAATAAATTAATCTCTTTATTTTGATGTAGTTGGTTCCCTACACAATAAAATATCACCTGATACAATAAATGTGAACTATAAACAAACAAATTCATTGTCAATTATCTTTTAAAAATTATATTTGTAAAACAACTTTCCATGGAAAATTACACTAAGCTTTTAGAAATTCAATTCAAAAATATCTTACCTGGACTAAATACATAATTTAGTGATGTAAACAAATAATACATTTAATTATTTTGAGATATTCTGTTATGAAATAAATATAAATATATACATATATTTTTCAATTAATACACTACTTACAAAGTTTAAATGTTGATTTTATAAAAACATAAAAAACAATGTAATGCTGCTCACCTCCAGCACCACACCACAAAATGACAATAACTACTGAAATAATGAACTAGGTAGTGCTTGGTGTAATGCTCAGACTAGGTGTCAGAGTAATCATGCAGGGACATCACCACAGCAAGGATAACTTTAACTCTCACTACCAACTCTATGTTAGTCAACTTGAAAGGGCACTAAGCAAATGAACGCCACCGAAATATCGGAAATCACTTCTACTATCATTGCACCTACACTCCACTTTATCTGCACAGTGTGCTAACTCGGGTTCGCTTCAGCGTCTATAAACTCCCAAAGCCACTTGTTTCTAGATAAATCAGCTCTTATTCCACGAACTCTCTTTCACGGAAGATTCACTGTAACAAAACACCTACTCACGGGAGTGTCCGCTCGCAGGCACCAGCTATGTGCTCAGAACTCTGCAAATTCCTTTGCACACTTTTCAGTGGAAGAAATACGAAGAGCTTCTTCTTCATAATCATCAAAATTGCTTGTGTCACCGGGTCCTTTGCAGCGAGGTATGAATGGAGCCTCTATCTTCTTCTGGAAGACAGCAATCCAGTCGGTGGTGGCAAACCATTTATGACCTTTTATATCATTGACACCAGCCTTCAAGTTACCATAGCGTTTGGTCAAATCTACTTGAAGTAGGTTACGAAGCAGATCCTTCAGATCTGAACCAAAATGTGATGGAAATCGTACTTTGCCAGACACAATTTTTTCATAGATCTGAATGGGTTGATCAGCGAAAAAGGGCGGGTAGCCAGCCGCCATCTCATACACGAGCACTCCTAACGCCCACCAATCCACAGCTTTGTTGTATCCCTTGGATAGAATGATTTCAGGTGCAAGATACTCAGGAGTGCCGCACAAAGTCCACGTGCGGCCTTTCACACGTTTAGCGAATCCGAAATCTGTAACTTTTAAGTAACCCTGAGAATCAATTAGCAAGTTTTCAGGTTTCAGATCCCGATAAATAAGGTCCAAATAGTGAAGGTACTCAAATGCTAAGACTATTTGAGCTGCGTAGAATCGCGAATGCGGCTCCGAGAACCGACCNAGATACTCAGGAGTGCCGCACAAAGTCCACGTGCGGCCTTTCACACGTTTAGCGAATCCGAAATCTGTAACTTTTAAGTAACCCTGAGAATCAATTAGCAAGTTTTCAGGTTTCAGATCCCGATAAATAAGGTCCAAATAGTGAAGGTACTCAAATGCTAAGACTATTTGAGCTGCGTAGAATCGCGAATGCGGCTCCGAGAACCGACCAACCTTGCGCAAATGCGAGAACATTTCCCCTCCAGGCACATACTCCAACACCATGTACAAGTTAGAGTTGTCCTTGAAATGGAATTTAAGGCTCACCAAAAACGGAAAGTTGATGGCTTGTAAGATACGTTTCTCGTTTAGAGTGTGCTCCACCTGTTTCAATTTAACCACTTTCTGTTTATCTAATATTTTCATAGCGTAATATTCTTTAGTAGGTTTATGTTGGACTATCATGACTCGTCCAAACGAGCCAGTACCTAGGGTTTTTATCCGCTCGAAATCGTTCAGTCCGGCGGTGTTGGTAGGATTCTTCTTCCATTTCTCCTCGAAGTCCTCTTTGGCCTGGTCGAGGAATTCTTTGACGCTTTCGGCGGCGTCCACCTTTTTATTAGCGGTGGCAGCATTGTTGCCCATGGCTCACACCACAAAGCAGTCCAATGCCCTCGATTCGCCGTTATTAGAGGCCGCTTTACTGCACTAATCGATGCTTGGGGTATGATCGTATAAGAATATGGGCAGGTCAGCACAAACCAATTTTAAGCACGTACATTCTTATTTTTACTAATCACAATTACACGTCACAAAACACTTCCAATATAAAAACACATTGACACGTTTATTTCAAATGCAAAAGTTCTATCAAAGTACTTTCAATTTTGTCACAATCACCAGAAATAAAATGGCTTCCACAGCCGGACTCGATCGACAGAGCGAGATCAAGCGAACGATGTGCTCACGGGAAGCGGTCAATTCACTAATGTTGCCAAAGCAGTTCTTACTCTGCTACTAACTTTTTAAAATTTACCATTTACGAAAACTGAATTCAAAATAAATTTAAACATTCACAGTAAACATTAAATATACTTATAAATAATTGTTAAAAAATAATAATGAAAAAGATGTATCAATGTACCCAAACTTTTAATAATAATCACATATCTACATTTCCCTCTAAAAAGATCGTTGACGCAGAGATTACAATTTTATGTACATAAAATTCTTGAAAATAATTTTGTACTTCGCTGCATTGCCAGTATTACTTTTTTAGGAAAGTGTATTTTTAAATGCATTTTCACATAGATAATAAATGTGTTTTTTGATATTCTCACTAATTGCATCGACGTTTCTAAAGGTAACTAGATGATAGCTTTGCTCGGTTTTTTTTTTGATAACGCCATCTTGTTGTGTCTTTAAAGCGGTTAGTTGCTCTCAATTAAGAAAAATAGTATTATTATTCGCCAATAGATGTCGGGAAGAGTTGATTATTGAAAACACGAATAAACAACATTTTATGAAAATAAATCGTAGCTAGATCGATTTATCGCCCCCGAAATCCCCTGTATATTAAATTTTATGAAAATCGTTGGAGCCGTTTCCAAGATTCAGATTATATATATATTTATATACAAGAATTTAAAGGTATAAGATAAAAATAGTTCTACTGGAGGATGGTTATCTTTCTGTTGACAATAAAAACTATCACATCCCTTGCTTATCTATCTATAGTAGGTAAGTCAAATCAAGTCAAATCAAACAAAGTACGATTTTGTCATATTTAAGCTTTCAATAGACGATTTATGATGGACTTACAAATCTTTGTTTATTTGGCGTAGACATACAAACAAGCTCTTGGCCTACATGTCGCTAATTTATTATCAGACCTCATATACGCTAGAACATCAACGCCAAAATAATAAAAATATGCCTTAATAAGTACCAAAACCTATATGATTAATCCGCTGTCTTGAATTTTTTAAGAATAACTTCGAAAAGATCATTTACAAAAATAGGTGGATACTCATGGTCAAACAAATAACAGTTTGTTAAAAAAAACAGATTCTTACCGTATGAGCTTTTGAAGTGATCAACTTAGATGGGAAAATCAAGATTCATTATTTTGAAAGCTACGACCAATCACCAATATACAACATTATAATATCTCAAAGTTTGATGTGAAATAAAAAACTATCAGCAACCCTCAAGCCCAGATTAAATAAAAACTTACAAGTTTATTTATCTTAATTATAATAACGGCCTCTTTTACGTATATGTTTTTAACTACGCAATCATAAACCATTGAAAGTTTACATTATAGCCTAAATTTAACGATCTATTAAACTAACTAACTAGGTAAATTGTAAGCGAATTCTTTTATTTTATTCACAAAATATAAATTAACAAACAACAAACATGTATGTACCAGCTTAGTAATTTTTTAAATTATCGAAAGCAAAGTTGACATAACAAATTAAAATAAGTTAACTTCTCTTTTTATCAGTTTGAAAATTTCTTAAATTATACCATTATCTCTGCTGGTTATTATTGGCAACAATTGGAATCTTACCTTGCGCAATATAACACAGATGGCAGTGCAGGGTGCTGCGTAATGGTTAGTTGATTTAAAAATCCATTACACATGAGAATTTATTTCAGAATTTTTATAATACATTATGTTCACATTTGTTTGATCTATCCAAACATTGTCACCAAAACATCTTGAAATAAATATTATTAGGTACATTATCTTATTCGACCGGTAGCTATCTTAAGAACCTTGTAGACCAAAAAATTAGGCAGATGGCACTGCGGTTGAATTTTTCCAAACTTACACTTTGTATTTGTCCAAATAAACTATAAATTTACTATAAAATATGCGAGTTTATTTGAAGTTTTTGTTAAACATCAACAATTGCTTTATTTTCCTTATAAATGCACTGATTATTAGATATTTTTCCTTTGTGTTCAAGTAGTTTATAATTTTTTTCATTTCAGCTTTAAAAATGTTTTTTTTACTATTGTAAAATTGAAATTAAGTTCGGTAGAACTCCTTATTTATTTATATAAAATTTTAATTATCATTCAAACGTCTGTAACTGTCTTAAACATGGGATCGCTAGATTATTTCTTGATTACAATTTATTACAGCTAGCGCCATCTCTTGCTTATTTGTTTTTTGTTTAATTACGTAAAACCACCTATTATGTGTTTTTAGACCGTGAGCCGTAGTTTGCAACTACAATCGTAAAACTCTTTAGTTTTATTGTGTGTGAATACATACTGTTCCGTTAAACGGGCCCCTTCTTGTCATGGTTTACCCACCATATTAAGTACGAATTGAACAGTAGAGGCCTATAAAATCAAAGGCAGCTAAACGCCATAATGTCGTAAAATGGATTAACAATGGCGCTATCTTGTTTAGTTAGTTGGACACACTTTAGTGTTTTCATGTTATAACAAATGCAGCTAAATCTCTAACAAATTCAGTTCAAACATTTTATTTTTACTCAGTACTAAGTACTAATAAACGAAGTTTTATCATTTAAAATTCAGATTATTACTTAGTAATATTCTCATTCTTTATAAATCTGCTTTAAAATAAAGAATATCGTAGCTATCCGAACAAAGTTATTTCAGCGTGTTGCTAACAATGGCCCTGCGAGAGCAATACTTCGATGGATCGGGAGGATCCGTAATGACGTGTTTAGGGCCGATTTTTGTAGTTTAGCTGAATATTTGACAAACTTAGATTTAGCTGCCTTTGATTTCATAGGCCTCAGTTGTAGTCTGACTTTTCGCTTCTCTGATGCATACCTTAAAATACTTATATGTCCGAACAGAACAAGGCCCCTTCATGCACATAGACCATGTGCTTGGAAATGAAAACTTGGTTTTAAACATACAATGCGTGGAAAACCATTAACCAGTTGAAGAACACTGTCGTTAAATCTGTTTGGATGGTACCTAATGTGGTTTTCATCAAAAAAGCTTTCCTTCTTGTTCTTTGGAGACAGCCGCGGCGTCTGTTTGCATGTATGACTATGACGTGCGATGGCAGCTAGAGAAAGGGCTTCATGAGACAATGCATCCGCTGAAGACAGGTTTACGCGTAAGCTCTGACTCTTTTGTCATGACATAATAATTTCGAGGACCATAAAGTGTATCATACGTTTTGGGCCGTGTTCAGTATCGCAGTTAACTGGAGAATAAAGCCATGGAGTTCATGTCGTTGGACACAAAAATTATGGTGGTAGCGGAAGACTAGCAGCAACGTTACAACCACCTCGTAAAAAGCTGAAAACAAAGAAGAGAAGAGAAGAGAAACTGCATCTAAGTGAACGCAACAAATTTAGTCACATGAAGTTTATAAGAATTTTAGATTACTGTGACATTGGCAAAACTTTGTAGGCAGCGGCTTGGCTCTGCCCCTGGCATTGCTGAAGTCCATGGGCAACGGTAACCACTCACCATCAGGTGGGCCGTATGCTCGTCTGCCTAAAAGGGCAATAAAAAATAAATAAAAAAAAAACCAATGCCTAAGGTCTTGGAGCCAACTCAAAAAAAAAAAAGGATTTTAGATGAAGATGATTTCAAATTAAAGAACTGAAATAACCTTTGAAGAACTGAAATAACCTTTGAAGTTCTTATATTAAATTTATAATATGTAGTTGCGCACCTACACCTACACTAGAAGTAAATATTAATTATTATACTTTAACTTTAGTAGGCATTTATATTGTCCCTAGCAAAAGTGTTGACCCGATGCAGCAGTTATTATTGGCATGACGTAATTAATGACTTTCATTCATTGGCTTACTGCTCTAAGGGCTATTTCAGAATTCACAAAATTAATTTCATTGGCTCACACTTAATATGTATTAGATACAATTTTATGTTGATGTTTAATTGTAAAATACTTGTTTTCATTGTTTACTTTGCAGTTTAAGATAGGCAAAGGTTTTGCCTCACGCAGCATCTCGTACCTCTTATCTCTACCGTATTATTTTCTTATAACGACTTGTACTTTTTTCATTTTATTGAATACTAGCGACCCGCCCTCGCTTCGCTTCGGAAACATTAAAACACACATGAAACAAAAAAAAAAAAAAAATAGTAGCCTATGTTCATCAGGGACAATGTCGGCTTCTAATGGAAAAAGAATTTTTCAAATCGGTCCAGTAGTTTCGGAGCCTATTCGAAACAAACAAACAAACAAATCTTTCCTCTTTATAATATTAGTATAGAAGAAAATACGAAATTGCATAACCGTTATAAAAACTTTCAAAACCATTTTCACTCATATTGCTTTACGGCGATGCACGAATGGCAGTTTGGTACGAAGCATTGCGACCTCTCCACGCCACATATTCTACCACCTGTCCTGGTGAAACTGGAACGGCCTCCGGGCCACCAGTAAATGCCAGTAATTCATACTTCATTTAAAAAAAAAACCTTTATTATTAATACTAAACCTATTACAGAACGTAATTAGTAATGAATGTTCGCGTAACTATGTTTTGAAAAATACGAAGTAGTAGGTATAATTATACTGAACTGTGAAATTAACTAGTATCTTAATATAGTTGTCAATCAAAAGCCTTCCATAGAAGAAAGTTTAACGTCAAACAACTGATCATAAATCTATATATATGCAATAGACTTCAAAAACATGTAATTTCATTAAAACTTATAATTTTATTTCACTGAATAAACTGAAACTGAAAATGGAATTATGGAATGTGACCACGGTGGCACAACGAGAAATAAGAACTTGTTTATACTTCGGACTTCGAGCAGGTTTTGCATAAAATTTAAAAGCAATAAAATTATTATGCACAAAAAAGAGTATTTTCCTTTTGTTTTTTTTAACTTTTAGCCAACGATGAAGTGTTCTCAAATGTAGATATTCTCTGTGCAATCGCGCCACGTGGCCTCGCATCATAGCCGAATCCAAATCACGATGTTAACGGGTTGACGAATCCACTGACGAAATCCCTACCAAGTGCCAAGATTTCTCAGAGCCATCGACCTAGCGAGTAGCAATGACATGGCGTTATATTTGCGCATGAACAATTCTTTAGCTGTATTGACCTAAAGTTCAATATCGCAGATCAAATGGTGACATCAATTTAAGATTTTTCGGTCAGTCTTTGTGTTTTTAGCTCAATGTGAACGTGTTGGCGGGAAGTCGTCAGTTTTTTTTTTTTAAATAAAATTTATAATATTTAATTTAAGTAAATCCATTTAGCACTTAACGCTCTATAACAGCTTAGAGTTGAGGTGTACGAATAAAAAATAGGACAAGTAATTATTTATGAATTTTATAATTTGGAGCCAAAGGACTGTTGGATTACGATGATTTTCGATGATTTATTTATTAGCAGAATAGGGCTAGAGAAAAAATTGATTTCCTTTAAATTAAGTTCTTATTTCTTTAATTTTTATATAATACATAATAGTGATTGCTTTCAAATTTGCTGCATTTTTTATTCGAAGTATCCTTTTTACAAGAATAATCACATTTTTTTCTTAGATGACTGACTGAGCTCTTGGGATGCGTAGTGCTAAGTGATTATCCGAGCCCATAGATCTCACAGTGAATGCCGCCACCCACATTATAGTGTATGTCCGAATTTGAATAGTAACTAATTAAATTACGCAAATTAAAATTTTTTGTGGGCTTAATTTTATTCGACGATGTTATTCCTTCATCGTGGAAGTTTTTGTGAACATGAATTAAGTACGTATTTCATTAAAACAATTTGTACTTGCGAGATTAAAACATCGACACAGCCGCATCACTTATTAAAGTAGGTACAGGACTTCAAAACAACATTAAATTACATTAATTTACTGGTGGTAGGACCTCTTGTGAGTCCGCGCGGGTGGGTACCACTGCCCTGCCTATTTCTGCCGTGAAGCAGTAATGCGTTTCGGTTTGAAGGGTGGGGCAGCCGTTGTAACTATACTGAGACCTTAGAACTTACATCTCAAGGTGGGTGGCGCATTTACGTTGTGGATGTCTATGGGCTTCAGTAACCACTTAACATCAGGTGGGCTGTGAGCTCGTCCACCCATCTAAGCAATAAAAAAAAAAGTGGCTTCTACGTTGGTTTATTCATTATGATTAACAATGATTTTACCTGTCTTTAATTTACTTGATTGGTAAAAATATATATTACGTTACATTTTTAGAACGTAATTTATTAATTCATTGTTTAATTTATTTATTTATCTGCCAGTTGCCTCGAAGGGTTATTTTTGCTTCCCCCTAACCGTTCCGCGAGCGCACGAGGCTCAACTTGGAAGAATTTACCAACATAGACCAACATCCAACCTAGCAAGACAAATTCTTTAAAACTACCACCGGATCGAAATCGCGAGCCAGGGAAATCCGCAAGAAATTCAATGACTTGGTATCAGTGTATAAAATGAACTAATAAACAGTATCTATTGATTAATAGTAATCAATAAATCACAAAGTTAATGATAAATAAGGTTGCATTTAATAAATGCAATCCCTTTACCAAATCTAAAAAAAAAAACTAAAGTCTCACATTAATTTTAATAAGTTTATAATAGGTACTTGGGTACTTTTTTTATTATATTTACGTTATTGTATTGTAAACCAAAAATACCTAACGCTTTACTTTTAGGTACGTAGTTATTTGTTAAGTTATCTGAGGGCAAACAAAATATCTTGGATTACCTATTTACTTTATCAAACATAGGCCCTGGTGTGGCATTCGTGAATGCAGTGGGTTACACGGTGACAAATTAACAATTAAGTGTACTTACTTTCTATGTAACTTAGTTGGAACGCAATTTTTTCAAGAATTAAAAAAAAGCAACAAAAATATAAGGTAAAGGAAATAAAAAGTGGTGGGGGAGAAAGTGGTTCGTCTAGGTCTTCAGGTGGAAAGGCATTGTAGAAGGAAAAGGACAAATGGGGTAAACCTATTACGATTATTTTTTGCGAATAGTTATTACGAAAATTTTATTAGATAATTCTGGATTTATTAACGGTTAATGAAAATTGCTGGCTTGACATTACCAATTTTTAAACAGGGAGACAGAGCGAGGTATATCAGCGTTTGCCCTCCTTGTTTCAACTCAAGTGGACTTCAAGGTTACTATTTGCAGTTGAAACATAGATACATAGTCATCTCTTTTTGACAGCAGGTTTGGTAATTTATTTTATCATCATGACGTTCACGCGCAAACTTCAGAGTAGGTGCGTGTCCCCCCGCGCCTCCCGTTGATTTTTCCGTCCCTCCCTTCCTTCTTCATTTGGACGTCGGCTTTAGTGCAGTGAGCGTTGTTTTCCGTTGTGCGTAACACGTGTTTTGAATTTTTATTCACTTTTCAAGTTATTTCATTTTTTTAATCTACCTTGCAACAATGGCAGACGCAGCCGTCGACAAGAAGTAAGTGCTTTTTAACTATTCATTCATTAAAAACGTATAATAATTCAAAATATTTTTGGCGGCTTAAGAAAACGTGATCAAAATGGCTTCCTATTTACAATTTATTATTATGTTTTCTTGAAATTTTCTTACAATTATTGCCAGAAATACATTTTTAAATATCTTTAACCATTACAGATATGCATATTGTTATTCATATTGATACATTGTTAAAGCTCATTATGTATTCGCCGGTAAATATAAAACACGCGGGAAAATCGCATCATTAAAAACTGTGTTCTTAACCGCATTTAGCCATAAGAAAACTGCAAGATAGATTATTTGTTCATTAATAATCCGGGCGTCGTTCAATTTGTATGCATTTTCCGTTACATGCCGCGTATTTTAATAAAAGGTGAAGCGAGAAGCACGCCGGCGGTATGCGCGTTGTTGTAACCAAGATGGCGCTGCTTGCGCGGCGTTCCGGCGCGGGGCGAACCCGCGCGCGCCAATTCGAATTCAATTCGCCGAGACCTCGAGTTTTGCAAGAATTGTGGCGGCAAACGTTACGTTATCGGTTGCGCGCGTTGTCATTAGTTATTTTTAACGTTTCATGACTTGCCATCGGCCCGTACTGTTCAACGGAGTGAAACGTTCAATGAGAGTAGTTCACGATGTATTCTTATGTTGCAACTTTCCCACATGCAAGCTTGCGCAACAGTCACTTCTTTTGTTCCGGCACTTTTCCTTTTACTCCCTTCCACCTAGCTGTCTAACATTATAACGTAAACTGTTGCAGTGTCGTTCCGGCTCAATTACTATCAATCGGGTCCGTGAAGCCATTGTCGGCTTTTCCCCACTGTAACATTCATAGTTGATAAAAATCTAGTAGCACCGAAATATTACATTTAGTAGAATAACATAGTTAAAAAAAACCGAACATGGATTAATTACATAGTAAATAAAATAAACATTACAATAATTAACGAAATTGAAAACCAGTTACAATGGAAAGCGTCCTTCAGCTGCCACTTTGATTCTCCATTGTTTATGTAAAAACATCTGTGTATACAAAATGGTTTAATATTGAAACATGCACATATCCTCTCAATCTATTAAATTTATTACTGTATTTATTAAAAAAAATAACAAAGCTATAAAATTGTTTCAATTTATTAATTCACAATTTTTACTTTCAGGGAAGTTGCACCTGAGGAAGTAACCTCAACTGAGCCAAAAGAATCACCAGTCAAGAAGTCTCCAGCTAAGAAAGTTGAAGCTGCAGAAAGTAATGGCAAAGAGAATGGTACCGATGAAGCCCCAGAAGATTCGCCTGCTGAAAATGGTGATGCTGAAGAAAGCAACGATGCATCTGAGAACGGTGATGCCACAGGTAGAATATTTTAAAATATTATTTATTGTAGGACTTGTCAAATGAATTGTATTTTAGTATTACGACAACAATAATAGTGACAAGTCATTAATGCAGTACAACTCCCATTTGCAGAAAAGAAAGAGACTGGTGTGAAGAGGAAATCTGTGGCTCTTGATGAAGAAACAGCAGAAAAGACCACTCCCGAGAAGAAGGCAAAAGTAACGGAGGAAGCCCCTCCAGCAGAGGAAGAAGCGGCTGCCTAAAATCTCCTAAATTATATATGCTTGGTTTACTGCAATGCATCAATNCAAGTCATTAATGCAGTACAACTCCCATTTGCAGAAAAGAAAGAGACTGGTGTGAAGAGGAAATCTGTGGCTCTTGATGAAGAAACAGCAGAAAAGACCACTCCCGAGAAGAAGGCAAAAGTAACGGAGGAAGCCCCTCCAGCAGAGGAAGAAGCGGCTGCCTAAAATCTCCTAAATTATATATGCTTGGTTTACTGCAATGCATCAATGCCCATTAGAGTTCAACTCACATCCACATATCCCGCTCCTACAAATGTATTACACCCATACTGATAGCCTCATACTATGAAGGGTTGAGCTCTTTTGTGTCTGATTTAAGTTTAGGTTTATATAATAATAAATACATTGTGTATTAAATTTTACCTGTAAAAGTACCTGCAAATTGTAAATTTATGTATGTAACTGCCAGTGACTGAATGCATCGCAGTGAACTGATCACATAAGATTGAGTGTTGTATGCTGTTTTACGTATCGTTGTCTTTTTCAGAGGACGTAGGTACGAACCGTTTATCTACGGTACGAAGATAGTATCGTATATAAGCATGGTATAGCCAGGAACATACTGCCAAAGTAATTCACCTCAGTGAAAACTTACGATCCGTTCTGTGAACGACGCGTTTTATAAAAACAGCTTTCGAAATAAAAGGATTTATAGATAAACTAAGGTTTATAATTACATCTTTAGGTAATTAATTCAGTTATAAATTTAAGTTAGCAGTTAAATATCGCACATTGTATTTCATAGGCATTATTACTTAACCATTTAAACATTCCTTTGCCATTTTTGGTTACAGATTGCTTTGTGAACACAGTACAACCTTCTTTGAAGTTGCAAATTTCACAAAAAAACTAGGGTTTCGGGGGTTGTAGTTTACACGTGATTTTTTTGTAGACGCGTTTAGAAGGTCGTACAATAAAATATTGTTCACGATGCAACAGTAATTTTAAGATATGGAGTTAAAGTTCAAAGTTGACAAATAGGGTAATAAGTCCATATTGACATACTTACTTGTGTGCTATTTTTTTTGTACTTCTATGGACATCTTTATTTGTCTTGTATCCTTTTTTTTTCTAATTTATTTCTAATGTAATTTAATAAATAGCAGACCTATATAATGTAAGAGAATATTTTTTGAAATGAATCTTCATTTTGTAAACTTTGATTGTACGTACGTAACAGTGTTCCTTAATAAGATTAAATGTTTTGACTAACTTTTTTCAGGTTTTTAATTCCAACTTGAGTGTTGAGAGTAGGTACTGTTTAGTGTTATAGTATAGACTTGTACAGTTTGACAATTCTTCTCTCAACTGTGGAGTGAGTGTTTGTAAAACATTACTGGCAATAAAATAGTCTCAACAAAATGTTTTTTTTCTAAACAAAATTATCAACAACCTCTACAGAAAACGTTTCACGAGGCTATCAAGCAAACTTAGTCACGTCTATAAGTTTATCAATTGCTGCTCCGTGTGAACATTTTATATTAAATTGCTAGTATAGAAAAAAATATACATGGTTTGTATGATGAGTGCGCATTTCTTAGTATCCCAAAGATTCTCATTGCTGCTAAGCTGTGGGGCGTTCTGATTTGGAGGATAGGATAGGTACATAGGTACTAATTTTACCAAACAGTGAAACTAACTTGTCCTAAAACGCATACCTACCTATTAGCTTTGCTAATGGCTTTAACATCGGGAGGGCAGCGAGCTCATCTACCCATCCAGTGTAAAAATAGCTACTACTCGAGGTCAATGACATACAGCGGATGTAGACAACGTGGAAAAGATCAAATTTGAGAAAAACTAGGTTACCACTGAATCGGCCTCGTGATGCTTCGCGGCACTAAATAGGATGTTCATTACACAACTATGGGGCGTGTAATAAGCTAGTCAACAATAGGTACTTACAAAAACGAACAAAAACAATTTAAAATGTATGAAGAAAAACTGAGAAAATTGATCGTATAACAATAAATATGATGATTGTCTAACAAACGATGAGCCACAATGTTGAGGGGTAGGTCGAAACAAGGTCATACATTTCCTTGGTAACTAAACAGAAAACAAGCTCCTCAGACAAAATAAATTTCACTAGTTTCCCATATCCGTCAATGATATGTGCCGGAGTTCCCACATATTTCAGAATAGTATGCCTTTATTTGTGGTTTTCCTACAGTTTTTCATTTTTAGATTAATTGTTTCCCAGACGACGCAGAATATTAATGTTTGTGAGTATTTTTGTATAACTTTAGACCTTGCTTTTTCACCATTAAATACCTACCTTCGCGGTTCCGGCTTATGACTCGCTAAGGCCCAGCGCTCGCAAGATACAGTTTTTAACGAAGTTTAATAACCGCTGTTGCTAGTGCTACTAGTACTTTTTATGAAATAACACAAATAGCTCATGCTAGAACAGCTAGCGCATAAGTTAGAAATGAATAGTTGAAGTTATATTTTCGCTGAGTTCAACATAAGTTTCTGAAAGAATATGTTTAAAGATACAGAATACATGCCATTTACCTGTTTACCGATAGAGTTAGATACCTAATTTAAAATTAACCCGTAATAGATAATAATTTACTACAGCGTTGATTGATATCTGAGCTTTTATTCAAGGAACAGCTAAATATTTTATATTTAGCAACCCTAATTCGACATGAGTTATTCTATCGTATATTACGGATGCGTACTCAAATAGAACTAAGAAAGTAGAGTGACCAATAGAATGTAATAAAATAAATTTAAATACGTCGGTTTCCAGTATTAATCAACGAAGAAAATAATGCCCTAGCTGAAAAATCCTTTGAAATAGCGAAAGAATATGTGAGACGTAATCCAAGTTTAGGATTAGCGATAGAACCAGTTATTGTCGTTGGAAACAGATCTGACGCCAAAACTTTCCTAGAAAATGGTAAGCTTATACATAAGGGATTTTCTTATAGACAAAATCTTGAGTCGATTGGTCATGATAACCAAGTAAAAAAGTAATCACATAACACGTACGTACAAAACCCTTTGTATTATTAACTGAACAATAAACGTAAACAGCTGAGTCTGATTGTAAACAGTTGCTAGGCTATTTAGTGAAATTGTATATATGTAACTTAAGAAAATTTTCACTGAACCTTTAGATGAAAATCTTGTACGATTTACTGTAACTAACACCACAAACCGACATGTCACTAGTAGGTACATATTTATGGAGCGCGGAGATGCTTCAAGGTTTTTCCTTGTCGCGAAAACGAAGCGATTAAGCTGACAAAATTACTGTAGCAAATTGTTAATTTTATTAGTAATGTTCAGAGTTATAGTTTGCAGGAAATACAACGATATGCTATCATCGAAAAAAACACCTCACGTTGTCTTGGATTTCACAATGACCGGCGTCGGATCAGAAACTATAAAATCTTTCACCGCTGCATTGGCATTGCCAACGATATCGGGTTCATTCGGACAAACGGGAGATCTACGACAATGGAGGTCACTTAATGCTAACCAAACTAAATTTCTTCTGCAAGTGATGCCTCCTGCAGATATTCTACCTGAATCCATCAGAGCTATTGTTACTAAACAAGATATCACGAATGCCGCAATTATCTTTGACGAGCTTTTTGGTATGTAATTGATGGCCTAATTAATTACAAGTCCTCTATTTTCTTAATTTAATAGTTAGTAGTAGTTGTAGTTGTTAGTAGGTGATTATATGAATATCTGATGTTCCTGTTTGTAATAATTAAATGTACTATTTATGCGATTCGGTAATCGTGTTTTTTAATTATTATTTTTTAGTTATGGACCATAAATACAAATCTTTACTACAAAATATTCCAACTCGTCATGTTATTACGCCAGTAAAAAGTTTTAACAAAGAAGACATCAAAACTCAATTACGCAGCCTGCGGGAGTTGGATATAGTAAATTTCTTCATTGTCGGTAGTTTGAGGACTATCAAAAACGTGCTAGACGCAGCGGATGAAAATCAGTATTTCGGCCGGAAAACGGCCTGGTTCGCGTTCTCGTTAGATAAAGGAGACATTACTTGCGGCTGTAAAGATGCCACAATTGTTTATATGAGACCAACGCCAGACGCAAAGAGCAGAGATCGTTTGGGAAAAATCAAAACCACTTATAGCATGAACGGGGAGCCGGAAATTACATCTGCGTTCTACTTCGACTTGTCTTTGAGGACATTTTTGGCTGTCAAGTAATAATCGCCTTTATTAATCTAGCATTAATGCTGATTCCTATACCGTACCGAGTGCTCTGTTGTTTGTCTAATTCTAGCTTGGTTTATTCCGTGCATACGCATTTGTGAATTTCCAGATCCCTACTGGACTCTGGCAAGTGGCCAAATAACATGAAATATATCACATGCGACGATTACGACGGCAAGAATACACCTAACAGGACCTTGGATCTTAAACTGGCTTTTCAAGAGGTACGTGGACACACTAACATAATTTCTCCGATTCGAAATTATATTTATTACGTTTAGTCATGTAAATAATGAGATATATCTAATAATAATTGACACCTCACTGAACTGTAATTTAAATAACATTTTAATAATTTTACGCATTCGCACTTTAGTGCTTTGAGCCTTGTGTCCACAGGTGAAAGAGACTCCAACTTATGCTCCGTTTTATATCCCCGGAGACGACCCTATGAATGGAAGAAGCTACATGGAATTTAGTACTGATTTATCGGCAGTTACCGTCAAAGATGGTGCTTCTATAGGCAGTAAGGCCCTAGGAACTTGGAAAGCTGGTCTTAACAGTCCGCTGTCTTTGACTGATTCCGATAACATGAGCGATTATTCCGCTCAACTTGTGTACAGAGTTGTTACAGTCGAGGTGGGTAAATGAACTCGCTTTGTTTAAAGTCGTTGTCAACCTGATAAAAATTTCGTCAGTTGGCTGAGTTACAACTGAACAAACACTTGGTCATTGTGAATAACGTATGCGTCTGGAATTATTATTACCAATCTATAAATTACGAATTTCGTTTCATTAATTCATGTATTTTTAGCAACAACCTTTCATAATACGAGACGATAATGCCCCTAAAGGTTTTAAGGGATATTGCATTGACCTAATCGAGGAGATTCGTCAAATCGTTAAGTTTGATTACGAAGTGACTTTATCACCTGACGGTAATTTCGGAACGATGGACGAGAATGGTAACTGGAACGGCATCATAAAGGAATTGATCGAAAAGAGAGCGGATATCGCTCTAACTTCTCTGTCAGTAATGGCTGAGAGGGAAAATGTTGTAGATTTCACAGTGCCTTACTACGATTTGGTGGGTATAACGATAATGATGAAGTTGCCTAGAACACCGACGTCACTGTTTAAATTTTTAACAGTACTGGAAAATGACGTGTGGCTGTCGATACTTGCCGCTTACTTCTTTACCAGGTAAGCCACGATGACATCATCCGATTTATACTCGGTATCGCAAAACAAGTTCTCTACGAAGATCGTCTCGTTCGAGGTTCCTTATATTTTATATTAAATTTTCTACAAACATACTTCTTGTCTCCTTTGTATTAATGAAAATCAACAGAAGGTTAGCCGTCTTCTTCATTGAATCAACAAGCGCCATGTCAAATGAACATAAGCTTCATATTTTTTATTCCGTTACAATGGAAGTTGTGGATGAAAAACTGCGTTCTCTATTACTATTATTTAGACGGATCGATGGGTAATGCTCACTTGTTTCTATTATTTCTTATCTGACAGATTTAATAGAACGAGGTCATGCAATGGCTTGCTTAACCCATACAACGAACTGTTGCTATTTACGATTGTATATACTTAATGTATGCGTTGAACTAAATTTCATTGGAGGTTGAGCATCAACTAATTTTCACGGGAATTTAAAGTAGTGTTAGCAGTGTTATGTGTTGTAACTAAAGAGTAATTAACCCTTTTCAATGCCGCTCTTAAATTCTTTAAAAAAAAGAACGTGGATCTTAATACTGAACGTGTTTCAACTGTCAAGAATAAATAAATCCAAACACTAACCTAACCTATAAATCATATTGAGATTAAAATGTATTATTTATAGTGATAACCTCATCGTGTAAAAAGGTCGATTATTAAATGAAAATTTAATTCCAAAATCCTCAAGGTCCCCTGGCGTCTGGTTTCATTTTGATTTTAACTGACTTCAAGCTGAGGTTATTAACCCTTAAATGCATGATTTTTCGTTTTTAAATACCATAAATCGAAACAGGTAGATAATGAAACATAGATTAAGGCAAAAATAAAGAAAAAAATAATTCTTCTAAAAATTATATTTCTATAAAAAAATCTTACTGATGTAGATCTACATCAGCATGCATTACAGTTTCTAATAATAAT